GCCACGAGCAACCAATCTAGCTTTGTAAACATTGTTTCGTTTGATGCGCAACACCCATTTACAGGATATTGGCTTTTCATCCTTTGGCAAGTTGACTAACTCCCACACTTTATTTTTATTAAGAGAAGCTATTTCCTCATCCATGGCTTTCCTCCATAGGACTTGCTCTTCTTTTGGCAATGATGTTATATCCTCATATGTTTACTGTATCAAGAGTTGCCACATTAGCTTCATACACAAAGTAATCATTCAACTTTACAGGTAATTTTTATATTTCTTCTTTGCCTAGTAATTTCTTCATGACTTTCTTCAAGATTTCTGGATTCTACATCATTTGAATCATATACTACTACTTCATCTTTAGCAGGATCTTTACTTTCTATGGAAAAATCATCTTGAACTGAGATACATTTCTTTTTCTCTTCATTGAACAATACATTTCGAGAAACCACAACATGATTTGTGACTGGGTCCAGTAAACGATAACCCATGGTAGAGTATCCAATAAAAATCATCTTTTTTGATTTTGGATCCAATTTCTTTCTTAAGTTATCAGGAACTCTCATGTATGCATCAGATCCAAACACCTTAATAATATTCAAATCAGGCGGCTTCCCATATTTGAGCTTATAAGGTACATTTTCAACAGTCTGATTTGGAATTCTATTCTTAAGATATGCAGCTGTCTGTACAGCATAGCCCCAGAAGGATTTAGAAAGCTTTGCTTCACATATTAGAGCTCGGGCCTTCTCTAAAAGATATCTGTTGCTCTCTCTCAGCCACACCATTTAAAGGAGGTGAATATGGAGGAGCAGGATCTATCATAACACCATTTTTCTTGCAATAACGAGCTAGTTCACCAGACACGTATTCCTTGGCATTATCACACCGAATCACATCAAGATTTTGTAGACATCAGAATTCTGCTTTAGGAACAATTTAAACACTTCATTTATGTCACTCTTGTGCTTTAAGAGATGCACTTCAGTAAATCTAGAAAAATCGTCTATGATTGTAGCAAAATACTTTTCACCTTCCCTAGTGGGTGGATCAATGGGACCACATATGTCAGTGTGTACCATTCTCATCGGCACATGCTCTCTGCTTCTAGGACCTTTGTTCATAGGAGTGTTGGAATGTTTTGCTAATATGCACTCTTCACAAAAGCTTGAAGGTGACTCAGATACTGGCAAACCCATTTCTTTTAATATTTTATCAGATGAGTGCCCCATGAGCCTGTGCCATAATTCTGCACTATGATTTGCAATGTATGTTGAAGCTTTAACTGGTTCAAATTGACTCACATACTGTAAAGATTTAAAAAAGTGAATCAGAGGCCGATGATAATTAAGTAGAGGCTTTATTAAATGATGGAATTAATCACGCACATGGCAACAGCACGTTTCTATATATCACAGACCATGACCAAGAACTACTACAACTGTTGCCAATACAACCTAAGCAAAAGTATAAAACAGTTACAGGTTAAAATACATGACATTAAAACAAGAACGGGAGTAAGTGTGATTATTCTCAACACCCTCCCTTAATCACATATTATTTTACATTTATCTCTTAAATAACACAATCTTGGTTTAGGCAAGCATTTTGTAAACAAATCAGCTAACTGATTTTCACTAGAAACATATACAAGATTTATATCATACAATTTTACAATATCCCTAATATACTTTAATTTATATCCAAATGTTTTAGTCTAGCACAATTACTTTCATTTCAAATATTGCTTTAATTACAGACTGATTATCCTCATAAACTGAAACTTTAATATTGTCGACTCCTAAAATTTCTTTAGATACATTATAAAATACAGTTAGGTCTTGAATAGCTTTTGCTAAAGCCAAAATTTCTGCCTCAGTAGAGGACAGAGCAATAGATGTTTGCTTTTTAACAGACCAAGTTACAGGACAATCATTAAAGAAAATAATATACCCTGAAATAGATTTTCTATCATTTGTATCTGACCCCCAATCAGCATCAACATAAACATTTAACATAATATCAACACTATTAGATTTACAAAATAATAATTTCAGTTTCAGATGTCCCTTTTAAATATCGAAGAATTTGCTTCAGACCAGCCCAAGCACTGTTAGTGGGTTGCTCTTGTATCTGACTCAGACAGTTCACAGAAAACAGAATATCAGGACGAGTTGTCATAGATAGGTACAGCAAAGCACCTACAAGTTCACGATAAGGGCCATGAAATCTTTCACCATTCACAAAATTTGATGAAGTTGACTTAGGCACTAGAGGAGTATCAGATGGCTTACAATCTAACATTCTAAATCTATTTAACAATTTTTCAACATAAGCCTTTTGGCCTAAAGTAAGTTTGTTCTGTGAATATTCAAAAACTTATTCCTAGAAAATTCATTTGCAACTTCAGCCTTGGGACATCTCAAATTCATTTCTAAGTAATTCAATCACAATTTTTACCTCTGAATCATTAGAACCAGCAATTAGCAAGTCATCCACATACAGCACAATAAATATTTAACTCTGTTTAGTTCTTCTCACAAAAGTACATGCTTCCACAGTTTAGTTGTTGGAAAGTTTAACTGAATTATAAAATCAGTAAATCTCTTGAACCACTGCCTCGGTGCTTGCTTAAGTCCATAAAGACTCTTAAGAAGCTTTTCACACACGACCACTGTTGTCACTGTAGCCCATTGGTTGTTCCATGTAGATTGTTTCTTGGAGATCACCATTCAGAAATGCAGTCTTTACATCTAATGCATAGATTTCAAGATTCTTTTGAATAATGATAGCCAGCAACAAGTCGAAGTGATGATGTACTAATTTACAGGAGCATAGGTCTCAAAGTAATCAATGCCTGGCTTCTGTTCAAAGCCACGAGCAACCAGTCTAGCTTTGTAAACATTGTTTCGTTTGATGCGCAACACCCATTTACAGGATATTGGCTTTTCATCCTTTGGCAAGTTGACTAACTTCCCACACTTCATTTTATTAAGAGAAGAAGCTATTTCCTCATCCATGGCTTTCCTCCATAGGAACTTGCTCTTCTTTTGGCAATGTTGTTATATCCTCATATGTTACTGTATCAAGAGTTGCCACATTAGCTTCATACACAAAGTAATCATTCAACTTTACAGGTAATTTTATATTTCTTCTTTGCCTAGTAATTTCTTCATGACTTTCTTCAAGATTTCTGGATTCTACATCACTTGAATCATATACTACTTCATCTTTTAGCAGGATCTTTACTTTCTATGGAAAAATCATCTTGAACTGAGATACATTTCTTTTCCTCTTCATTGGGCAATACATTTCGAGAAACCACAGCATGATTTGTGACTGGGTCCAGTAAGCAATAATCCATTGTAGCAATCCAATAAAAATCATCTTTTTTGATTTTGGATCCAATTTTTTCATTTTAATTTCAATCAGGAACTCTCATGTATGCATCAGATCCAAACACCTTAATAATATTAAAATCAGGTGGTTTTCCCATATTTGAGCTCATAAGGTAGATTTTCAACAGTCTGATTTGGAATTCTATTCTTAAGATATGCAGCTGTCTTGTACAGCATAGCCCCAGAAGGATTTAGAAAGCTTTGCTTCACATATTAGAGCTCGGGCCTTCTCTAAAAGATATCTGTTGGCTCTCTCAGCCACACCATTTAAAAGGAGGTGAATATGGAGGAGCAGGATCTATCATAACACCATTTTTCTTGCAATGACGAGCTAGTTCACCAGACACGTATTCCTTGGCATTATCACACCGAATTTTGTAGACATCAGAATTCTGCTTTAGGAACAATTTAAACACTTCATTTATGTCACTTTTGTGCTTTAAGAGATGCACTTCAGTAAATCTAGAAAAATCGTCTATGATTGTAGCAAAATACTTTTCACCTTCCCTAGTGGGTGGATCAATGGGACCACATATGTCAGTGTGTACCATTCTCATCGGCACATGCTCTCTGCTTCTAGGACCTTTGTTCATAGGAGTGTTGGAATGTTTTGCTAATATGCACTCTTCACAAAAGCTTGAAGGTGACTCAGATACTGGCAAACCCATTTCTTTTAATACTTTATCAGATGAGTGCCCCATGCGCCTGTGCCATAATTCTGCACTATGATTTGCAATGTATGTTGAAGCTTTAACAGGTTCAAATTGACTCACATACTGTCCTTTCTCATTGAGTTTAGCAAACTCAAATTTTTCATTCCTCTTTTCAATAACAGCTACATCATTCTTAAAAATTACACTGTAACCTGCTTTTTGAATATTCTTCACAGATATTAATTGAACCGTTCAACTTCAGGCACATATAACACATCTTTAAGTAATATTTCTCTTCCATTTAATGTTCCAGGTACTGTACCAATACCTTCTACCTTTAAAACATCATTTTTCGAAGCACATGCAACAGTTCCAGAAAAAGGTTTAATTTCTTCAAACCACTCACCTTTATTACACATGTGTGTAGATGCTCCAGAATCCAGAATGAAATTTCCAACAGGCTCGCCAACCATGAATGTTACTGTAGCCGATTCTCTGTAATCTGATTTATGCTTAAATCTGCAATCCTTCCTGTAATGCCCTGGGCGTCCACATCCAAAACAAACTAATTTTTTCTTGCAAAGCCTGGCAATATGACCTTTACTTTTACATTTGTGGCAGATGATATCACGCTTATCAGCGCTAAAAGCTACGTTATTACTTGAGCCAGAAATACGAGAATCGTAAGAATTTCTCTCACCTTGCAATTCTTCAGCATTCAAGAGCCTTTGCATAACAAAGTCCAGCGTAAGCATTTCATTTGGCTGGTTCTCAATCGTCGATTTAATAATGTACTCAGAAGGTAGCGACATCAACAAATAAATAATCACATCCATATCTTTGACTTCAGCACCCGAAAGCCGCAGTTCATTTACGATCGCCAACAGTTCGTTTAATATGTGACTGCATACTGCAATCTCGGCGTTTTCTTCAGTGTCGATAATTTCTTTCATACTAATATTTGACTAACTGCACTCACCTTATGGTATTTATTCTTTAAACTGCTCCAAATTTCACATGCAGAAGATTCACTCGACATGGTCGCCAATATGGCATCATCTAGAAGGGTTAGCAGCAATGCGTAAGCCTTTTTTGCATCTTTGATTTCAGCAACTTTCGTTTCATCCGCTTCAACGTCTAAATATTTATCAAGTTCTTTGGCCGCAAACACAGCTTCAAACACGGCGCTTAAACAGAGAAAAGTTTTTACCGTTAAACGGCTCAACACAATACTTTGTGTTCTCATCACGTGCTGCCATTTCAAATTTCACTTAACGCGCGATTCCGTTCCAAACAAATAAGTTCCACAAAACAAATATAAATGCTTCGCCTCTAGCGTGTTCAATATCAGAACCACGCTCTGCTGTAAAGATTTAAAAAAAGTGAATCAGAGGCCGATGATAATTAAGTAGAGGCTTTATTAAATGATGGAATTAATCACGCACATGGCAACAGCACGTTTCTACATATCACAGACCAATGACCAAGAACTACTACAACTGTTGCCAGATCAACCTAAGCAAAAGTATAAAAACAGTTACAGGTTAAAATACATGACATTAAAACAAGAACGGGGAGTACGTGTGATTATTCTCAACACCCTCCCTTAATCACATATTATTTTACATTTATCTCTTAAATAACACAATCTTGGTTTAGGCAAGCATTTTGTAAACAAATCAGCTAACTGATTTTCACTAGAAACATATACAAGATTTATATATCGTACAATTTTACAATATCCCTAATATACTTTAATTTAATATCCAAATGTTTTAGTCTAGCACAATTACTTTCATTCAATATTGCTTTAATTACAGACTGATTATCCTCATAAACTGAAACTTTAATATTGTCGACTCCTAAAATTTCTTTAGATACATTATAAAATACAGTTAGGTCTTGAATAGCTTTTGCTAAAGCCAAAATTTCTGCCTCAGTAGAGGACAGAGCAATAGATGTTTGCTTTTTAACAGACCAAGTTACAGGACAATCATTAAAGAAAATAATATACCCTGAAATAGATTTTCTATCATTTGTATCTGACCCCCAATCAGCATCAACATAAACATTTATCATAATATCAACACTATTAGATTTACAAAATAATAATTTCAGTTCAGATGTCCCTTTTAAATATCGAAGAATTTGCTTCAGACCAGCCCAAGCACTGTTAGTGGGTTGTTCTTGTATCTGACTCAGACAGTTCACAGAAAACAGAATATCAGGACGAGTTGTCATAGACAGATACAGCAAAGCACCTACAAGTTCACGATAAGGGCCATGAAATCTTTCACCATTCACAAAATTTGATGAAGTTGACTTAGGCACTAGAGGAGTATCAGATGGCTTACAATCTAACATTCTAAATCTATTTAACAATTTTTCAACATAAGATTTTGGCCTAAAGTAAGTTTGTTCTGTGAATATTCAAAACTTATTCCAAGAAATTCATTTGCAACTTCAGCCTTGGACATCTCAAATTCATTTCTAAGTAATTCAATCACAATTTTTACCTCTGAATCATTAGAACCAGCAATTAGCAAGTCATCCACATACAGCACAATAAATATTTCACTCTGTTTAGTTCTTCTTACAAAAGTACATGCTTCACAGTTAAGTTGTTGGAAGTTTAACAGAATTATAAAATCAGTAAATCTCTTGAACCACTGCCTCGGTGCTTGCTTAAGTCCATAAAGACTCTTAAGAAGCTTGCACACACGACCACTGTTGTCACTGTAGCCCATTGGTTGTTCCATGTAGATTGTTTCTTGGAGATCACCATTCAGAAATGCAGTCTTTACATCTAATGCATAGATTTCAAGATTCTTTTGAACAATGATAGCCAGCACAAGTCGAAGTGATGATGTACTAATTACAGGAGCATAGGTCTCAAAGTAATCAATACCTGGCTTCTGTTCAAAGCCACGAGCAACCAATCTAGCTTTGTAAACATTGTTTCGTTTGATGCGCAACACCCATTTACAGGATATTGGCTTTTCATCCTTTGGCAAGTTGACTAACTCCCACACTTTATTTTTATTAAGAGAAGCTATTTCCTCATCCATGGCTTTCCTCCATAGGACTTGCTCTTCTGTTTGGCAATGATTGTTATATCCTCATATGTTACTGTATCAAGAGTTGCCACATTAGCTTCATACACAAAGTAATCATTCAACTTTACAGGTAATTTTATATTTCTTCTTTGCCTAGTAATTTCTTCATGACTTTCTTCAAGATTTCTGGATTCTACATCACTTGAATCATATACTACTTCATCTTTAGCAGGATCTTTACTTTCTATGGAAAAATCATCTTGAACTGAGATACATTTCTTTTTCTCTTTCATTGAACAATACATTTCGAGAAACCACAACATGATTTGTGACTGGGTCCAGTAAACGATAACCCATGGTAGAGTATCCAATAAAAAATCATCTTTTTTGATTTTGGATCCAATTTCTTTCTTAAGTTATCAGGAACTCTCATGTATGCATCAGATCCAAACACCTTAATAATATTCAAATCAGGCGGCTTCCCATATTTGAGCTTATAAGGTACATTTTCAACAGTCTGATTTGGAATTCTATTCTTAAGATATGCAGCTGTCTGTACAGCATAGCCCCAGAAGGAGATTTAGAAAGCTTTGCTTCACATATTAGAGCTCGGGCCTTCTCTAAAAGATATCTGTTGGCTCTCTCAGCCACACCATTTAAAGGAGGTGAATATGGAGGAGCAGGATCTATCATAACACCATTTTTCTTGCAATAACGAGCTAGTTCACCAGACACGTATTCCTTGGCATTATCACACCGAATTTTGTAGACATCAGGATTCTGCTTTAGGAACAATTTAAACACTTCATTTATGTCACTTTTGTGCTTTAAGAGATGCACTTCAGTAAATCTAGAAAAATCATCCATGATTGTAGCAAAATACTTTTCACCTTCCCTAGTGGGTGGATCAATGGGACCACATATGTCAGTGTGTACCATTCTCATCGGCACATGCTCTCTGCTTCTAGGACCTTTGTTCATAGGAGTGTTGGAATGTTTTGCTAATATGCACTCTTCACTAAAGCTTGAAGGTGACTCAGATACTGGCAAACCCATTTCTTGTTTTATCAGATGAGTGCACCATGCACCTGTGCCATAATTCTGCACTATGATTTGCAATGTATGTTGAAGCTTTAACTGGTTCAAATTGACTCACATACTGTCCTTTCTCATTGAGTTTAGCAAACTCAAATTTTTCATTCCTCTTTTCAATAACAGCTACATCATTCTTAAAAATTACACTGTAACCTGCTTTTTGAATATTCTTCACAGATATTAATTGACCGTTCAACTCAGGCACATATAACACATCTTTAAGTAATATTTCTCTTCCATTTAATGTTCCAGGTACTGTACCAATACCTTCTACCTTTAAAACATCATTTTTCGAAGCACATGCAACAGTTCCAGAAAAAGGTTTAATTTCTTCAAACCACTCACCTTTATTACACATGTGTGTAGATGCTCCAGAATCCAGAATGAAATTTCCAACAGGCTCGCACCAACCATGAATGTTACTGCAGCCGATTCTCTATAATCTGATTTATGCTTAAATCTGCAATCCTTCCTGTAATGCCCTGGGCGTCCACATCCAAAACAAACTAATTTTTTCTTGCAAAGTCTGGCAATATGACCTTTACTTTTACATTTGTGGCAGATGATATCACGCTTATCAGCGCTAAAAGCTACGTTATTACTTGAGCCAGAAATACGAGAATCGTAAGAATTTCTCTCACCTTGCAATTCTTCAGCATTCAAGAGCCTTTGCATAACAAAGTCCAGCGTAAGCATTTCATTTGGCTGGTTCTCAATCGTCGATTTAATAATGTCGTACTCAGAAGGTAGCGACATCAACAAATAAATAATCACATCCATATCTTTGACTTCAGCACCCGAGAGCCGCAGTTCATTTACGATCGCCAACAGTTCGTTTAATATGTGACTGCATACTGCAATCTCGGCGTTTCTTCAGTGTCGATAATTTCTTTCGTACTAATATTTGACTAACTGCACTCACCTTATGGTATTTATTCTTTAAACTGCTCCAAATTTCACATGCAGAAGATTCACTCGACATGGTCGCCAATATGGCATCATCTAGAAGGGTTAGCAGCAATGCGTAAGCCTTTTTTGCATCTTTGATTTCAGCAACTTTCGTTTCATCCGCTTCAACGTCTAAATATTTATCAAGTTCTTTGGCTGCAAACACAGCTCCAACACGGCGCTTAAACAGAGAAAAGTTTTACCGTTAAACGGCTCAACACACAATACTTTGTGTTCTCATCACGTGCTGCCATTTCAAATTTCACTTAACGCGCGATTCCGTTCCAAACAAATAAGTTCCACAAAACAAATATAAATGCTTCGCCTCTAGCGTGTTCAATATCAGAACCACGCTCTGCTGTAAAGATTTAAAAAAAGGTGAATCAGAGGCCGATGATAATTAAGTAGAGGCTTTATTAAAAGATGGAATTTCACGCACATGGCACAGCACGTTTCTACATATCACACCATGACCAAGAACTACTACAACTGTTGCCAGATCAACCTAAGCAAAAGTATAAAACAGTTACGTTAAAATACATGACATTAAAACAAGAACGGG